CTCTCCCAGCAGCACCAAGCCAGGAGGGAAGAGTCAGACCACCATCCACTCTGCCTTCCCACTTCTAAATTACACATGACAGTGGAGGCAACAGGGCATGCATTCAAATGCACAAGCTTGAGGTTGGCTCTGGGAATGAATTCAGTAGTGCAGACATAGCTGTGTCCAGCAGGTTACCACACTCCTCTAAGTGACCAGTACAGGTATGAATACTGTGCCCACTCAAGATACTGCGGCAGAATAGGCTGTTGCTGCTTTCAGCTTCAATTCCTGCCAAGGAAGCAGCAGAATGAATCACTTTGGGGCAAATTCCGGACTGCACCAGAGCTATAAATTGAATGCTTTCAATTTATTTATTGCTTTCACTGGCTCTGACATTAGCAGAAAGAGCTGAGTAATCATATAAATGGAATGAAAGAAGAAAATGGAAGGGAATTAATATTGAGCATCTGCTCTGTGCCAGGCACAAACTAAGTCTTTATTTGTTACAGAGGTAGCATAGTGTGGTTGATTCTACATCTACCATTTGCTACCCATGTGAACTTGGACAAGATCCTGCAACTCTCTGAACCTCTGTTTTCTCATGTCTACCATTTAAGGTTGTACAGGAAAGAAAAGAGAATCCATGTTCATGTGGCAAATAATAAATACATTTCAAAAGTAGGTACTTTTAGTTATTGTCATTACTGTCTGGATCATTTAATCCTCCAAACAGCATCATTATCATTTTACAGATGTGAATACTAAGGTTCAGAGAGGTAAGAGGGTTGTCCAGGGAATAAAACCTTGGAACTGTGATTCCAACCCAATCTCACACCAGAACTCGTCTTCCTTACTTCTCTAGACCATTCTACCTTTATCAATCAGTTGTGAAAAAAAGGATTACAGAAATAAGAAGCAGCAAAAATGGGCTGGTTCTCAAATGCGAAATATCCATAAGACAAAAGTTGGAGTGGTGTATTAGTTAGGGTTGTCCAAAGAAAAGAACCAATAGGATACATATGACAAATACATGTTATATATTGATTGCATATTATAATATGTAGTATATATGTAATATTATAATTTAGCACAGTGATATGTATACTATATATATATATATATATATAGTATAACATATAGTACACAACCAATATGTAACACACACGCAACATCTACATATATATCATATTGATTCCTCCACAATTGCATGAGCCAATTCCTTAAAACCTCCTGTCTCTCACTCTCTCACTGATGTCTATGTATTCTATTTGAAGCTTGTCTAATAAATGTATATTTTATATGTGTGTGTATGAGTGTACATGTGTGTTTAAAAAAGGATTTTAGGCATTGTCTTACATACTTGCGGATGCTGGCAAGGCAAAATCTGCAGAGCAGGCTGGAGACATGGGGAGAGTCTGAAGGCATTTGGCTCATCCTTGGGTGAACTGTCTTTTTCTCCTAAGGCCTTCAACTGATGGATGAAGCCTACTGGGATATGGAGATGTAATCTGCTTTACTCAGAGTTCACTGATTTAAATGTTAATCCCTTTAAAGCTCGTTCTCTCTCTCTCTCTCTCTCTCTCTCTCTCTCTCTCTCTCACACACACACACACACACACACACAGAGCAACATCTAGGATGTTGTTTAACAAGCATGTAGGTACTGTTACCTAACCAAGTAGATATAAAAAATTAACCATCCTAAGCAGGGGTGGTGATCTGTGACAAATACAATACTCAGGACAGAAGGCTGGTGTCTAAGAACTGTCCTTAATTGACTTCAGGTATCAAACTACTTAGGTTTTTTTTTTTTTTTTAAACTGGATAATTCCCAATTTCTTAAAACCCACCTGCCTTTAGGCAGTTTTGACTATTCAGATGAACTAAGATTATTGTTATTTTTAAATAAAGCAGCGAGGAATGCAGGCTTTCTTAGCAACAAAGACATGTTCCACATATGACAAGAACACAAAACATAAATCAATGTAAGAGGTGGGTAAGTGGCTTGTAGGAGCTAGTGTGGGGAATCAGATCTTGGCTGAGATAAAAACAGAACTTCAGGAAGTAAGGTCCTTTTACCTAATCCAAGCTCCAGGGTGAGCTATTATTTTCAAAGTACAGAAAAAGCTTTATATGTCACCTCTCTGTTCCTTGTTGCTAAGCTATGCGACTTATTCATAGCAAGAGCAGAGTCATTAAAAACATTTATTAAGATATTTTTAAAATATAATGATTAGGGTTTTTTTCCTGAAACAAATAAATGAATAGTTTTGTTATAATTATTATATTATAATAATTCAAAATTATTAACTTCTCAAAATGACATCTGCAATAGAATAAATTTTCTGCTTTCACCTGTGAAGATAAATCTTCTGGATTCTCACATGGTAGGAAGAAAATCCAGAGCTGGTATTGTGGCCTTACAAAGAAACTTTATGAAGAAGTTACATTGTGTTTGACTACTATCCACAGGGGTACCTCCTAACTCACACATGGCTCCCCTCCCAGCACTCTTTCTGGCTTCAAGGTGTTGGGAAGCAGAAGAATTTGTTTTAATCCACTTTCATTCAATCACCAGTCCTCATACTGGGAGAAGCCCTGTAGGATTAGGGAAGTGACCTTCAACCAAGGAATCCATCCAAGGCAACTAGCATGACAGATGGTTGTCTCCTTGACATCCATCTCTCCTTTCTTCCTAGTAATAGCAATGTGCCCAAGTAAAGAACAACATTTCCTAGTTAAAGGAGGGAGCAGTTCATTGTTCCTGGAATAAAGACATAATAGTTGGCATCTTAGCAGTCATTACTGAATTAGGAGGTACCCTTTCGAGTAGTAGTCAAACACAATGGACCTTCTTCATAAAATTTCTTTATAAGGCCACAATACTAGCTCAGGATTTCCTACTTTCAGAGTCCCTTTATGTCACAGAAGAAATCCTTGTGTGTTTGAACAGTAACAGCCAGATCTGTTTCTTGTAGTACAAATTAGTCCTTACTGAATTATTAACCCTGGTAGTGATCAAAAACTACATACACTTCTGCCACATGCTTCATTGTAGAGTAATAGACCAAAGACTCAGTATTATTTTAAATCCTTTGGAGTTTGATGCATGGGACAATAATATAAATGATCCAAACAATAAGAAGAAAAGGGTTTTGCTCTCATTATATTTAGTCATAAAATAAAAACCTGTTAGAACTGGAAAAGTACCTTAGAAATCCTTAAACTATCTTTCCACCCCATTATTCATTTTACAGATGAGAAACCAGAAATTCGGTGTTTAATCCAGCAAAGATACTCAACAACTAAGCCAGGGGATATGAACACAAATCTTCCAAACACCATGGCTATTTTTTTCTTCTGGTTCTATAAATGGGACATAATCTTTACATAATCATCAAAGAAACAGGAAACGTGCACACATTTGAGTACTGTTCATCGGAATACTCTTGGGGTACCTTCTAAAACAGAGCTGCCCAACATGCAGTTGCTCAATTTACAGATGGAATAATCTGAGCTCACACCATAGTGCTCATCCCACACTCCAACATCACGTAATAGTCCCTACCCAGTGTCCAAAGCCCTTTGTTGTCTTACTTTTGGTTTTCAGTGCCAGTTCTTGTTAGCTGAAGGCAAATTACCTACGAGCCTAGAAAAGAAAGGGGCCCATTTGGCAACTATTCATCCTCCTCAGATTTGTGTTCTGGGAAGACATTTTAATTAAGCAGTGGGAGAGCTACTACATTTAGAAGCAGCTCCTAATGGGAAGCAGGGAATTTCAGGACCAACTGAAGTTCTTGGTGCTTGTATGGCTTTACCATTTAAAAGACAGCCAGTGAATTCTTCTCTAGCACTCCTTTAGTACTGCAGGCTTTGTAAGATTCAGAACGGTCGACTGGTTTCTTAAGGCTCATTCCTCAGTTCTCCTTGCACCTCAGTGCATGCTTTGCAGACAGAACACAGGTCCTTTGATTATTGTCTAATTAACTCAAGCTGTGTACCATGTAAATGGTCACTGTTTTGATTATTACCTTTGGTTTTTCCAAAAATGCTAAGAGACAATTCCTTTGGAGGGATTTTTCCATTCATGAATATTAAGTGAGTTTTATTTCATACAAGCAAAGGAATAAACCAATAATCAATGTAACGCTCTATATTTGTTATCTGCTTGCTCTCGAAACAACTGAGCAGTATCTGAGTTGAGCTTCATTGTCTATTTGACAGAGGGAGATGTCAGCTGGTTTGTGAAGGGCACAGCCAGGACTCCAAGCTAGAAGCCAGATAATATTATAGTATTGTTCAAATGAGAAACAAACAGTTTTCATCTTCTCGTCCTCCAATTTGTGTCAAACACTCAGCAGTTATTAATAATACCTTGTGAATGAGCATCTTTTGAAAAGAAGTTGCCCAGTTTAGATACAGAGTGGGAAATGGCATGCTAAAAGAACACCAGACTAGAAGTTAGGACTGGAGTTCTGCTCTCAGCCCTACAATTGCCACCTGCTGTGACCTTGAGCAAGGCCCAACACATCACTGATCTCACCTACAACACATTGTCTTAACATCAGAAGGATTTCATAATTCTCACTGTATAAAGCAAATAATAGCAGAGCACCCCAGTGCAGAAGGGGCCAAAGGGTCCAGTGCCTAAAACCCCTGAGTCTTGCTCCTCCCTGGGGATCAATAATGCCTAAAGCCCCCTGTATAAGCTTAGGGCACTGATCCACATAACTGTATATTCCCTTTCAAAAGTTGTGTCTTAACAGTCAGTTATTCCCTGTATCCTAGGCTTAACCAAAAGGAGAGAAAAATGGAAAATGGAGAGATATATGGAGAACTCAAGCAACAACCCATTATTTATCATCCCTTAAACCTTGTTTTGGCTCAGAAGACACCAGGCAAAGCAGAAACTTGTTACATTTCAGCAACAATATTTCTTCAGTGCCCATCTAGGAGCATCCACCCAAAGTGACTGACAGCTGACAGTGAATGTCTATTTTCATTTTATTGGCTTATAGGAAGAGAGAACTTCATGAGCCATTTGGGGAAGTAGAGAATATTATCTGAAGGACCACAATTCCCAGAACCTGTTTATCAGTGAGGAGAAGAGAATGAGGTAAGTAGAAAATGTCCCCAGTAAAACCTCATTATAAACAAGGAAAGTACCAAGGAAAATTAAAAATAGACCCATGTTGCATTAATGTCCATGCTCATTAGAATGACTGCCTTTCTCAGGTTGAAGGATTCTCAGACATTATTACATAATTTTAAAAAATGTTTTTCATTTTTAAAAAATGTGGTAAAAAACAAATTTGTAACCCAACTTGTGACTTACCTGCTGCTCTGACCTGCTCTATGAATCTGTTGAGTTCATGCTGAGACTTCTTCAAAATAGTACTGACTGCTGCCCCAATGCAAATGTGGCAAGGACTAACAAACTGTCATTCAAAAAGAATCCAGGCCTCCTTGAATGAGGTAGAAAGGACAAAGTATTATTGCTGACACAGTTAGAAACAGTGTCAATGGTTTCTCCATTTATAGAAGGCAGGAGAAAAGCCTTTTTAGGAAAGAGGATGGGCTGGTCCTGCAGCCAGAGATGGAAGTAGAGACGGCAGTGGGTGGGTTCAGGAAGCACATGGAGGTGTATAAGTGTGTGAATTTCAGACATGCTCCTATTTTTAATGTTGGCTATATCGGTATTTTAGTCTGTGTACCTTATTGGGATATGGTGAAGATAAAAGCCTAGATACAACATTTGCATCTCAAATCACAAACTACCCAAAGATTTTACTTTTCTAACAGCCTGCTAGCTAATACTTTTCAATTTGTAACCAGGCAAATTGTAAATAGTTTCACTGAGATTAAAATATTTTACTCATTTAAAATACTTCCAAAGAAGAAAAGATTATTAAACAAATCAATATTTTTATGAATCTTAATGACTCAAAACTGTGTTTTTTGGGGGAAGAAATTATTCTCTCCCATCAGAACTCAGTGTTAAATATTCCTTTTTTACAATCTGTACCAGTGAGTCCCAAACTCTTTAATCATCAGAGTTCCTAAGGCACTTTCCAAAAACATGGAAATATTGGCCTTACTTATGGATATTCTGATCCACTGGAAAGTTGGAATCTATATTTTCAAAAAGGTCAGATAATTGCCTTTATTACTTTTATTTTGGAGATGAGTAAATTAATATTCAGTAAATAAATTGCAGTAAACAAAGCATATTAATGTTAAACCTTAGTAATAGGGGAAACTAGGTGCAGGATATATAGGAGCTATTAATTTTTGCATTTTTCTTTCTTTTTTTTTTTTTTTTGCAAAATTGCTGGCCAGTTTTGAGCTACAGGAACGATCCCATGCACTCAGGTTACTTCCTTATTCACTTCTCTTTGAACTTGGATTTTTGAACAATTCAAAAGAGGAGAAGAATTCTTTCCACATTACTGGCATTACATTTTTGTGGCATATACTATTTTCAACATTCTAACCATATGACAAGTAATTCCTAGCCATGCCATCACAGAAGAAAATACCAACATCCTGTGGCTTTCCCCAACTCTTACGTGCTTAAGAATGTTAAATCCTTCACTCAGGACAACTGGGTACAGGTTATCTTAGTGGTTGCTTTCTTACCACACATTAAATATATCAGAGCCTAGAGAGAATAGATGTAGATATGAAGAGTGTAGGCAAGAAGAGGTTAAAAAAGAAAGGAATCTACACATCAAGGAGAGAAAATTCTTTTAGCTTCCTCTAAAAATATTTATCCTTCATGTAGAGAGACACTTTAAAAAATCTTTCTATTAGCATAGCATAAGTAAAAAATAAATTCAAAGGTAAGAAAACAAGAAAGGCCAAGAATCCTAGAAAAAAAATAGTTATTATATGATGGATATGGTTGGCCACATACTGATGCCATATTGATATACCTCTTTAAGAGAAGATTAATTATAATAAAATAGATGGTTAGTAAATGCCATTATAAAATACCTTCTTCTACATAGATTTGGTCCATTTTGGGTCAAATCCTATTCTTTATGTGCTGTGATGCAGAAGGTTTTATGTTGTCTGTCCTCCAATACCAGTGCCATTGAAATTTTTTGTGGATGTCTGTGAGTTGATTTGCACAGCATCTATTTTCCATTTTTCTGGTAATAGCACTCAAATATTTTTAGGGGAACTTTTGGAGGACCCTTTCACTCTCAATCCACGTGCTTTAGATGGGTCATCACACTTGAGCCCCAGGGGTAGCATGTGTCCTTGCCCCAGCCAGCCAGCACATCCCACTCTTCTAGCTCAGGGTTTGATTCAGTGAGGGCTTCATGACTGATTTAACATCTATGAGGTCAACTGAGAACCCAAGAGAAATGGTTTCCTTCTCCTAAATATGGAATGTTGGGCAATCTATGCTTGACAGCAACAGTGACCACCACCAGGGATGGTCAGCCTGACATCAAATCCAACAGGGGGTGGCAAAGCTGAGAAATAGTGTAAGAAAGACAACATTTTTAAGCTCCTATATATCCATTGACATAAAGGACCCTAGTCTTTTCAGTTATTAGAACCAATAAATTTCCCTTTCCTTTAAGCCTGCTTAAATTGGGGTTTCTGTCATTTGGAACCAGAAGAATCTTGACTAATAACATGTTTAACAAGTTATTTGTCTATCATGTAAAACCATATTTTAAAGGAAAAAAAAAGTAGATCTCTTGGATGGCATGAACATCTTTGCAAAATAACTCTTCCAGCATCTCAGAATTAGATCAAAGAATTTAGCTACTGAGCTCATTTCGGTAGCCATTCCCAATATCAGTGGCTTACCGTGTACCAGGCACATGCTTAGGGATGAACTTAAATTTCTCTCATTCCAGCCTCACAATCAGAATCTCTGTATTATAGATGAGGAAACTGAGGCCAAGAGTCAGAATTTGAGCCTGAGTCTGTCTCTGTTCAAAATCCATGGCCTCAATCCACTCTCCTTCTGGATAGAGTGTGTGTTTTTGTTTTGAACCTAGGGCCTCCTGCATTGAAGTCAAGCACTCTGCCACTGAGCTATGTTCCCAGCCCCCTTTAATTTTTCTTTTGAAACAGGCTCTCACTAAGTTATCCATGTGGGCCTTGAACTTGCAATCCTCCTGCCTCAGCTTCTAGAATAGCTGGGATTATAGGCGTGGGCCACCCTGCCCAGATATATGTTTTATTCTGGAATCTTATAAAAATTCATATTGGAAACATATAGTTTGGTTGTCAGTTTAATAATAACTTTTTAAAATTTAGATTTAAAAAACAAGTAGAAATACTCAGAAGGAATTAATTGATCCTTAAAATTATATATCAGTGTCAAGTAAACTCAATCCCCTGCTCTCCCTTTCCTGTCCCTGGCTGTGGCTGCTCCCTTCTCAACCTTGCCTAGCCTGCTTGTGGACTCAGCCCCCCTCATCAGGCACTAAGCACCACACATGCAGTCTGTCCTAGGGCAGGTTATTATAGCACATGGTTTTTAGCTAGCATGGTTCTTTTTAATTTCTTCAGCCACCCCTATCCCTGGAAAGCTCTTTCTGATTATGTTGCATTAAGTCTGTACATCCCAGCCTTCTCCTCAAGTTCTAAGCCTCCCGAATCTCCCAGCCCTTGGGTTATTTTGAAAAACCAAAAAATTCCCAATATTTGAATAGTTTAGACCTATCTCAGTTTTTCCCATTCAGAGCAACTCAGGGCTTTAACAAAATATTCACAATACTTTCTCAAACAAAATGATCCTTCTAGTGGATTTCTATCCTTAGTAATATGGAAATAAAGAAGAATCTTGGAATGATTTTTTGCTGTCTTATAATTGTAGTAGTACTAAGAGTAAGTGATATTTTATCTGTCTCAAAATAAAAAATTAAAAGGGCTGGAGATGTAGCTCAGTGATAAGGCACCCCTGGGTTCAATTCCCAGCACCAAAAAATAATTAATTATTTAAAAAGTAAGTGATATTCTGAGAGTTTGCCTAGATTTTTCATAGTACTTATTGTAGTCGAGAACATACAGTAAGAAGTTAATGAACGGTTGTTAATGGACTATCCACTCAATATCCAGCTTCTTGGAAACTGCTCTCTGGGGTATGTGATTTGGAGATCAGCTAAGTTAAATATTGTAGTTTATTTAAAGTTCTGAGAGATGTAAGCTTAGTGTCTTAAAGAATACTGACAACTTGAGGCAATCCAAACGATAAATCCCCCGAGACTAAGCAAAGTTCAACCCCGTCTTCACCAAAGAGGTGCAGGCTATGGATCCTCATTCCTACTGAGCATCCATGTTTTGTGAAGTTTTCTTTGAAAAGATCCTGATCCTCACTGAATTTTCTAGTAGCATTTTACAGTTCAAATGTTGACAAAGAAAGAGATATTTACAAGTGTGCTTATGTCTTTTTGTGGGAAATGGACATATAGTATCTTCTCTCTAGCTGTTGAGACAGGGCCATTTGAAGAGAAACCAGACTTTGATTGCTTAGTGCTTTGGGTTCTTGGGTAAAATATATTTTTAGATATTATCATTAATAATTTATGAATGAGAAACCTTTACCAGACCTAAGAGATTCAATATTTTTGTTTGTAACATATCTTTGCATTTTTTTCAATGCCCTTCAAATGCAGGTCTACCTTGAATTTATTTTGAATGATTATTAGAAATGATCAATGACATCCTAGTGCTCCATGAAAAAGGTCGATGGTAGTACCCCAGCTGTAGTCTGTGTCTGCCTCATCAGGCCTCATCTGGATGCTTCTACTCACTATATAATGGCCTTTTTAACTAACTGTATTAGATTTTTAACATGTGGGTATATATTAATACACTTCACATCTTTTTGTCTTTCATTTAAATTATTTTATCAGGTGATGAGGAAAAGAAAGAACTAATTTGTCTTACTAGTGTCTGTGATGGTGATGGAAATTCATGAACAAAGTGATTTACTCTGCTGTTGATACAGCCAGATGCCTTACCTCTAGATCTGAAGGTAAAATAAAAGACTTCTCTCCCTCCCTGTGAGCTTTAAAAAATCAGAAACGACTTTTCTTTCCTGGAGTGTGATGCCTTTGTAGATGTGACTTCACGCTTTCTGAGAGTGACGGCTTTTTGGAGGTGGTTAGAATCATCTGGAAACTTTTTCAAATACGTGTAGAGTCACACGCACCTCACTCCCTTGGTAGAATGCCAAGTCCTACCACCTGGACATCCTTCAGATAAATAAGGCCAGCTGAGCTGACAGAATGCTGGGGGCATTCTCTGCCCTGTGTTGTGATGGGAAGGGTTAGACATGGGAGGAGGGGGCTGGTCCTGCAGGGAAACCATATCTGCAGTAAGATGCTGTAGAACAAGGCTTCACTTGGCTTCTTTCATTTCCCTCAAAAAGAACCTTACCAGCTTTCTGCCCAGTTTATTTGACCAGTAGTAATAACATCAATAATAATAACAAATTCTGCTTCACCATTGGTTATGGGGAAGGAGAAGGAAAAAAAAAGTTAAAAAAGAACATTTCTAGAGAGGAGGAGCTTGATAATCCTGGGACCAAGGATTTCTGGCATGGCTTTTTTGATGTTTTTGGCTTATGAATCCTAAGAAAGTCAAACCCTTTGGGCGAGTAGCTTAATTGCTTGGTGTCCTAGTTTTCTTTTTTATAAATGGGGATGATCAGATAAGTGCTTGTACTATGCTTATGCTGTTGTAGGAAAAAAATGGTGCAATAAAAACAAACTAAAGATGCCAGCTGAAGTTTTCTGAGTGCTTGCTATGACCAGGTACTGTTTTCAACAATCAACACGTTTGAGTTGACTTAACTCTCACAGCATAAAATGAAAGAGTACCCAGAAGGTTCCAGGCAGGTCAGGGTGTATGCCAAGTGCTCTTTAATTGTTAGTAGTTCTGGAAAATTCGGAATAATAATCTCTATAGTTAAACCCATTCTTCATTCAGACGGATAGTTAGGTTTTCTTGCCATTGTCATTCTCATAAACAGGGCTTCATGAACATCCCTGTAGGTTTCTCCTTTGTGCATGTGCAAGGATTTGGGGGTGGGGGTAGGAGGCTTGCGAGATCAGGGATGTCTACAAGCACTTGGCTGTCCTGTATTCAGCCTGTTTCCTTCCTTCTTAAAAAAAAAAATCCATAGAATATTTTCCTTAACCTTTGAAGAGAGGTATACATTTCTTTTTAAATTAAAGATTCCTTTCTTTAAATATTGGTTTGCATTACGGTGTGCTGCACTAAGCAAAGTGTGACAGCAGAAGGGCTACTAGCAATTCACTTATTAATTTGCCAATCTGAATTAGAAGCTAAGTTTGATAAAGTATTGACCAAATAGAGAAAATCAATTTGGGAAATTTATAGAAGGTACTGATGACTAGTTTCGCTGCCTAACTTTTGTTGGTTTTGTTTACTGTTAAATTGTTATTGTTTTTGTCTGTCTGCTTCAGAGATGGACATTGATTGCTGGCCTGACGAGACAATCTTCTTTATTTTGAGCTAAAGGACAGTACTCTGGGTTTTGTGGCACATCCTGGTGAGCTATGCCAACTACTGTCCGACCACTCTTGCACTCTGTTAAAAATAACAAAACCAAAAACATGCTGGAGAGTTTAACAGGGCAGGTCCTGTCAACCCTGGACACCAGGGAGAATTAAACCCCAGGCTGGGGATGTGGCTCAGTGATAGAGTGCTTGCCTAGCATATTTAACATTCTAAGTTCAATCCGCAGCACCAAAACAAAAATGAAACAAACAAACAAATAAACAAAAAAACCCCAGACCATGTCCCTGATTGTCTATTACCCTGGATCTCTTGATTTGCTATGTTCATTGATTTGCTATTTGCTATGTTTTGTGCTTCTTGGATATATTGTGCCCTTGGATATTTCAGTAGCATAAAAAAGATTGTCCAAGGAGCCAGTCCTGGAGACGATATGCCTCAAAGACTAAAATATTGACAGCAGAGCAGATTATAAAAATCTCTCCCTGTATAGTTGGTACTACCCAGGTGAATCAAAATGTGGCCATTATTGTTTGGGGGAACCTTCTACCCCAGTGTAATTTTTTGGAGGCTATAGATTGGATTATATATAGATTGTCACACTTTGCTTAGTGCAACACACTGTAATCCAGCTCAGTGATAGAACATTAGCCTAGCATATTTGAGGTCCTGGGTCTGATCCCCAGTCCTAAAGAAAAAAGAAAAAAACCAGAGGCTGGGGAGGCTGAGGTGAGAGGATCACATGTTCAAGGCCATCATAGACAATTTAGGGAGACCTTGTCTCAAAATAAAAAATAAAAAGGACTGGGGATGTATATCAGTGGTAGAACCCCCTGGGGTCAGTCCCCAGTTTCACATTAAAAAAAAAAGAATGAAAGAAATAAGGAGAGTCTTGTGAACTATAGCATGCTTCTTTTAAAAGCAAGCATGCAATGTTGGGGTTTTTTTTTTTTTTTTTTTTTTTTGTAGCGGGGCGGGGACCAGGGATTGAACTCAGGGACACTCAACCATGAAACCACATCCCCAGCTCTATTTTGTATTTAGAGACAGGGTCGCACTGAGTTGCTTAGTGCCTCACTTTTGCTGAAGCTGGCTTTGAACTTGCAATCCTCCTGCCTCAGCCTTCTCAACTGCTGGAATTACAGGCATGCACTACGCCACCAGGCCAATGGTTTTTAATTTTAGTTTGCATTCCCCTGGCATTAGTAAAGAATTTATTCATACTGTTCATTTGTACTTCTTCTTTGTTGTTTGTTCAGGCTCTTTGACCATTTTAAAACTGGAATGGTTAATGTGACACTGATTTCTAGAAACTTTTTGTATAATGTGGATAGTTATATTTGTGAATATGTTGCAAATCCTTTTCTTCTTTCTAATTTGTTGTTTGTCTACAAACTTTATTTATGGTTTCTTTCTTTCTCCAGGCTGACCTGGAGCTCCTGGGTTCAAGAGATTCTACTGCCTTAGTCTCCCAAGTATCTGGGACTATAGGTAGGTGCCAAAGCACCCCACAGGTTACTGAATTTTACCAGGTGATTTTTGTAGTAGCTATTGAGACTTACTGTGAAGTTTTCTTTATTAATATGCTAATTAATGAATTACAATGATGAATTTTACTAATGATGAACAAATTCAACCAAATCTAGTTAATCATGTTTTGTATTTTAATACATGGCTGAATCAAATTCATAAATACTTTAATTAGAATGTCTGAATATATATGACCATAACTGAGACAGCCTTGATGTTGAATTGCTTGTCTTTTTACCATTCTCTTTTGCTTTTTGCTTATTCATTTGGATACTATAATTGCTCTGGCTTGAATATCAAGGTTATGTTCATTTCATAGAAAGTATATTTCTTTTTATGCCCTTGGATATTTTAGTAGTATAAAAATTATCCATTTATTGAAGATCTAAATGAAGTTTATTAAAGCTATATGAGCTTGGTGCTTTTTTTAAACATAGATGCCTATATTATTTATCTATTACTATGCAAGAAATCTTCCCTAAACTTGATGGCCTAAATCAAAAATAACCAATTTTACTTCACTGATTTTTATTTGCGGATCAGGAATTTGTGAGCAGCTTAAGTAGGGGGTTCCAGCTCGAAGTCTTTCATGAGGTTGCAGTTACATACTGGCAAGGGCTGGAGATAGTCAAGGCTTTATTGGAGGTGCAGGATCCACCTTTGACTTGTCTCACTAACATGATGCGCAAGATGGTGCTGGTTGTTGGCCATTGACTGTATTCTTCTCCTCCTGGGCCTTCCACAGAAGGATTCGATTGTCCTCACAGCCTGGTGGCTGATATCCCCCAGAGAAAAAAATAAAAGAGAGCAAGATAGAAGATGCAACTGCAACGTCTTTTATTGACCTAGCTTTGGAAGTCACATGCTGTCACTTCTATTGGTCACACTGGGCCAACCCTGATCTTCCCTGATTCAGGAAGGGACTGGACAAGGGCATGATACAAGGAGGCAAGGATTATTTGAGACCATCTTGTAGGCTGGCTTCCATACGCTCTCTGAAACTTCTCCATCATTTAATGATTATTGCTCTTGTTAGGTTTTACCTCTTTTGAATCCCTTCAGTAGTTTATAGTTTTCAGGAGATCTACCCTGTCCTATAGTTAAATATTCTACAAGATTTTATCAGAAAGTCCTTTCTCTCTCCAAGCATACATTAAAAAAAAAAAAATTCCCTCTAAACTTTCAGAACTTTCATGGTTTTATTCTAATTACATTATTTTTTCAAAATTTAAATATTTGATATAATTGGCTTGTATCTTTTTTGTGTGTGTTAGATATGCATTCAACTTCATTTTTTTATAGATGGCTACTTAGTTGTTCCAATACAGCTAAATGAATAAGTGCATCTTTCTACAACTGATATTACCTATATCATATATAATAAATTTTGATAAGTAATTGGTATTATTTCTAGTCTTTATTATTTTTGTCCAATACACTATTAAATAACAATAATAAGCCCAGGAGTTTAAAACAAACTCCTTAGTTTTTCCCATTGAAAATTATATTGGTATTTGGTCTCAGACAAACATAACAAGGAATTATTTTTTTATTTCTCTTATTGAGAGTTTCCCTTTTATTATTTAGGATATTTGTTAAATTTTGTCATAGGTCTTTTCATGATTATATGTTACACAATAAATACTACTGGATTTTCAAGAGTTGAACCATCTATATTTTCATGGGGGAAAACCTTCAGAGTTACAAATTGCCATTGGATTCTGCTTGTTAATAGTTATTTAGTATTGACAGTAATTGAAAGACTAGCTTATATCTTTTTTTAGTAGGTGTCGTCAGATATATATTTTATATTTCCTTCATAAAGATAATTTGGAAGTGCTTCTTATTTTTCTCCTTTCCTCCCCCCAACCTCCTCCTCCTTCTCCTCCCCCGTCTTCTTTTTTTTCTACAGAATAGTTTAAACAACATTATATGTTACACAATAAATATTGTGTTTTCCCCCATGAAAATATAGACGGTTCAACTCTTGAATTATCTACTTTTTAAAAAAATTGGTAGCATTCCCCTGTGCAAAATCTGGCTCTGACACTTTCCTTGGGAGGAAAAACTGTTAATTTTTTTTTTACATTACACTTTCTCATATAATCCAAGTATGGGATGGTGTGACATAAGAAGATATATATTTGGTTCCTGTAATCCCCCTTTCCTGGCAATCACTGAAGGGATACATGTATTTTTGTATGCTAATGAGATGACTGGTACCTGGGGGTAATTGAAGAGCCTTAGGGTGGTGGCTGGTTTCCAGGGGTACCAACTATGTGTGGGAACCAATCAGTACCTCTGACCTCCAGGAAAGATGGACTAGAGATTGACTTGATTACCAGAACCCAGTGATTCAGTCAATTATGCCTATGTAATAAGGCATTTATAAAAACCCAAAGCTCAGAGAGCTTTCCATTTGCCAAACACGTGGAAAGGCTGGGAGGTTAAGCATGCCTGGGGAGGGATGGAAGCTCCACACCTTTCCATCTGGCTTTTCCTGAGTTGTACCCTTTTTATAATAAACCGAGTAAACTAGATTTTGTGAGTTCTGTGAATATTCTTGCAAATTATTAAAACTAAAGGAATGGCTATAGGAATTTCCAGTTAACAGTTGATTGGACAGAAGAACAGATGCTAACTTGAACTTGGAATTGGGATCTAAAATGGGGCATTCTTGTAGTTCTGTGTCCTTTATCTACTAATTTCACATAGATAGGGTCAGAATTGAATCAAACACATTTAGTGTCAGAACTGAAATGGAGTGAGTAATGTAAGTTGAATATAACGCAAATAAGAGTTGTCCTTTCAGATGGGATACAACACTGTGGGGCATCAAACACAGGTGATGGCTTGACGTCATGTTCCAGAGTTAGAGGACTTGCTCAGACTTACTGACATCTGCAGAGACATTGCAATGCTAATTTAGAAAGGCAGAATTAATAAGAAGCAAATAAGGAGAGCTTTGTGGTATAAGAAGAAAACAATAATATAAGAGATATCCAATGGAAATTTCCTATGTTTCCAAGGAAAACAATGAACATTGCTACTTTATTTTAATTTAAAACTTCTTGGAAACAGCTGGTAACCTGCCTTCATGGCCTACATCTATTGTATTATAAAAATTTAAATCAGCCACCAAAATTAGCATGAATCATAGACAGGACAAAGAAGGAAGCAGGTTAGACTTCCTGAAGGCAAGAATTTGACTAAAAGAGAAAAATATCAACAGCTGAATTATTTTTATTTTCGGTCTGCTACTGCTGCATAAGAATGCTATGTCTTTTTATTATCACCATTTGATGAGGCTTTTTAAGTTATAAAAATAGAAATTCTTTTTTAAACCATCACTGAAAGTATACTTGCTTTAGAGATTAAAAAGTTGAGGGAGGCATTTGCTTTAGATAAGGTAAGAAACACATCTAGTATTGCCTAATCTCACTGTTTTTAGCCTAGGCAATAGGTATTGTTAATAGAAACACTTTTTAAACACTTAGATGATTAATTCCTTGCTAAAGGAAAACTAGCTTAAAATTCAACATAATATTAAAATAATTTATTTTTTTAAATGTTATTTTTAGCCAGGTGCAGTGGTGTACATCTGTAATCCCAGCTACTCTGAAGGCTGAGGCCAGAAGACTGCAAATTCGAGGCCAGCCTCAGCAATTTAACAAGACCCAGTGTTATGGTCTGAATGTGAGGTATCCCCCAAAAGCTCACATGTGAGACAATGCAAGAAGATTCAGAGAGAAGTTATGGGGTTGTGAGTGAATTAACCCCCTGATAGGGATTAACTGAGTGGGAACTGAAGTGGTAGGGTGTGACTGGAGGAAGTGGGAAGTGGAGGTGTGATTTGGGGGTATATATTTGTTTCAGGCAAGTGGGGACCTCTCTCTGCTTCCTGATCATAATATGAAGTGCTTCCTTCCACCATACTCTTCCACCATGATATTCTGCCTCACCTTAAACCTTGAGTTTATGGATTGAGACCTCTGAAAACCATGAACCCTCAAATAAACTTTTCTTCCTGTATGGTTGTTCTGGTCAGATCCTTCAGTCACATCAGCAAAAATGCTATCTAAAACATCCTGTATCTAAATAAAGGATTTTGGAAAAGGTCTAGGGGTATAGCTCATTGGTAAAGAGACCCTGGGTTCAATTGCCAGTACTGGGGGGAAAAAAAGCAAGAAAGAAAGTTAAATTTTTAGCAAAATTGTATTATGAATATGTAGATGTATATACTATATATAATATACACATTTATATGTATTTATTATATACTATATACATTTATATGTATTTAAATATTGTTTCAGGATCTAGTGAGTAAAATTTGTAAAATACCAATTTTGTTTCATTTTAAATTTTAAATTAATGTTGTGAATGTAGAAAACTGCAGTCTTTATATAGTAACAAAAAATGTATATGAAACTGATTTTAAGTACTATGTAGGAAACCAGATGAATTTATTATTTGAGATGGAGGAGTTAGATGAGTGGGCCACAGTTTAATGGTGCCAATATTAAATAATACTGTTCACTCACTTCTGAAAATCTGAAATTTTGGCCAGACTACTTGTCACTGACATCACTGCTTATAAGAATTAGATAATTATGCTTTAGATCCTTACTGATATAATTTTGAACTGCATCTAAGAATATCATGTTTCAGTGACTCTAAGTGGAAGACCTCAGGTCTAAGACTCCCAAATTTTGTCAGAGATCTACTTTGCTAAAGTTTCACTGTATTCAAGGAAACAAATAAAGCTGATTCTCAAGTATAATTGTTTCTTTACTAAAAATCTTTTCATTAAGTCTTTTATAATTTGACCCCAGACCACCCTCTGTCCTTCTTCTGATTTTCGATTTTTTACATTTTATTCAACTTCATTTATACCAACACAAAATGTTAAATCACGCTCAATGGTTCTTTTTGCCCTGAATGCTCTTTCATTTGTTAATGTGATAAGTTATTTCACATCCTTCAAGATCTAGCTCAAATTTTGATATATTCAAGTACTCTACATGACTTCTCAGCAAACTGACTTCTCAGTAAATTAGCTTCTACCTTATTCTTCTTGTATTACATAGTCTAACTGTATGCCTCTCCCACTAGCCCATGGTCTTTCCCACTAGACTGTGAGGTCCTTGGAAGCAATGGCAATGTCTCATCCACTTTTTACATTCCTGTCTGTATTGTGATTTCCTCACTGGACTGCCCAGCACAATGTCTGGCATGACACATCTTTTATGGATGAGTGGATGCTAAGTCAGTATGATCCCTGGTGGCTCCAGAGTGCAATCTAAAGAACATGATATCAGTGTGGTTAGGCATGACACAAAATTATACAATTTAAACAACAACAAAAAAAACTACATGTAATTTAAGCCAAAATTTTTATTCAGGGAATAAAAATTAGAAAGCTAAATATTTGTGGTAAGTACAGAAATGAAATGTAAATCATTGGAAATTTTCAAAGGACACAGTGCTTGGAGGTGGATGTAAATCTTGTTTCCACAGGTGCTCAGTCTATAAAAACAGCAAATGATTATAAGCAAATAGCTCATTTTTATACCCACTATGGCTATTTTTCCAAAAATAGTTTATATACGTGTCTAGATTATGTGAACGATCTTGCACCCTTTTTAAAAGCAATATATAGTCACAACAATTTGTTTCAACAAACAAAACAATGTTTATCGCAAATCTGTGAAATGTCTGTAACCACTGCAGTGAACCAGCCATAAGGGGAAGTGTGACAGGGGGTGCTGGAATGGAAAGATGTGATGATCCTAACCACTGATGATTAAAATATCTAGCCTTTGCAACTTTACACTACCATTTGACCATGTGAATACATTGGTGGGGCCCTCCTGGTGCCTTGAAGGGGATCTATACCAAAGACGGGCCCCAGAGCAGAAGTACAAGTGAAAGGAAAAAAAATTATTCCTTCCTCCTCAAATAGAAATGAGAATAACAAAGGCTGATGGCAAAGAATGTTGTCATAGTTCAAAGGTTTGTTTTGTTTCATGAAGAAAACAGACCTTTCTTGTTCCCACCAAACAGGAAGGAGAACAATTCAGAGGCAAACTCAAGAAGGGAGAGAGCAAAGGAAAGACCATGGTTTTGTACAAAAATATGATTTATAAGACATGGATTCTGGGAAGAAAGTGACTTTGTGAGTTAGGAGATATTTGGAAAAATTTGATTTTCTCCTTTCTAAAAAGTTTATATGGTTTTAGTTGGGGTTGCAAAATGACAAAACCTAAGGGTAGGTTTTATTTGGTCTGTAAAATGTCTTCAGCTCTTAAAAAAATGAGCGAATATATCAAATATGACCTAAAAATACAGCATTCTGGCTACATCAACCTTCATCTCTCTATGGTAACATTCAGCTGGGCTGAGTGATGAGCACCTCTTTTAGATATAGTACTGATTACTACTGTCCTCACATTTACACATTTATATAAAAGCATTTATTTCAGCCCATTTTTTTTTTCAGAAATTTCTAGTTCTTGCCTAGGCATGATTATATTGTCTTTATACTTTAGGGAGTTCGTATTTGATCCAACAGGCACAGTGCACACTTGTGAGGAGATCACGAAGGGACCAACTTTATTTGGAGAGGCCAGGTAGATGGTTGATGGCACCACCAGATGTAGAGAGACTGTCCTATGGGTAAGAGGCAGGGGATGACCACATTAATGGGTTCCTCCCAGAACACTATCACAGATGGAAGGAGTCAAAAGTTGGGAAAACTATGGCCACAGGGAGAATGGAGCAATCCTACTAGGAAAGAGAATAGGCTATTATCACTAACTGTGTGCAGACGATGGGGTTTTTAAAGGTAGAGAGAGATTCACACAAGACATCAGAGAAAGGAAGGACTTTGGGGAGAAAAATGCAAATTTGAAGGCAAAAGAAGCAAATTAGGAGCAGTGGGGAAATCCAAAGAGTATCACCATGTGAATATCTTAAGTGGTTAGATCTCTTCCCCTTGGTGCTTTAAAAAGCCATTTTTACTTTAAGAGTTCCTCTCCTAGTGTGCAACTCTCTTCAGTTAACCCCCAAGTGAAGGAAGCCATATAACCACACCATATGTACAGCAGTGCTCAGGAGCCTGATGGTCCAGGGTAGTAAAGGAGAAGGATGATCTAACCCACCTGCTGATTCACTAACACCTGCAGAAGAAGAGAAGCATCCAGTGGGAGGAACCACATGCCCAGAATTGCTAGGTGTGAGCAGCTGTAAGGTGAGTACTCTTGAGTATTGCAGGAAAGAATATATGGTTTTGTCAAGTTCATTTCAAGTAGGCCAAGTTGAAAGACTTCGTAAATCCTAGTTTCTGGCACAAAGGAAGTATCTAAAAATTTTAGTCATCCTTGTCATTTTTATTATCTTAAAACAAACAAACAAATCTGCATTCCTGCTCCTTTGGAGGTAGGGGTCCCAAAATGGCATCTCAGAAGCTACAACTGGTCCACAGATGTGTTTTGTTTGAAAATGTATGGTTAGCCTGCCTCGTTTCCCAGACCAAACCACTTCCTGTTGCTTTACATCTCACTAGTTCCCTTTTGCAGATTAGCTGATGACCTTTGTAGGCAATTGAGTTTTGGCGTCTATTAAACTCAACCCTGTGGAAGGGGAAGGGGGGGTTACATAGAGACAGGATTCTGCTATTTTTTAAAAGAGGACAGGTAGTAGATGACTTGAGGAAAGGGACTGGTCCAAAGGAAGAGTGGTCTGTGAGTGGATAGTTCTGGATCCATGTTAAAGTAGGTTGGTAGAAGTAAGAGAGAAGAGCAGGGTAAGAACTGGGTTTGGGAACTGAGGTTGTGGCTTAGTGGTAGAGCACTTGCCTAGCACGTGTGAGGCACTGGGTTTGATCCTCAGCACCACATAAAAATAAATAAAATAAAGTTTAAAAAAAAACAACGCAGTTATTAAAAAACAAACAAACAAACAAACAAAAAAAAACCCTGGGCTTGGGAATTCCAGCTTTAGATATTTACTGCCTGTGTGACCTTAGGTAAATACCATACCTTCTCTAAATCTAATTTTCTTCATATGCAAAAATGAAATTATTAGCCTCTGTAATTATAATAGGCAAAATAAAATGGGTTACACATGAAAAGTTATAGCTTCCCATTGTTTCCTTATTAATTTGGGGGGGAAAGGGGGGTACTCAGGATTGAACTCAGAGGTACTCAACCACTGAGCCACATCTCCAGCCCTTTTATGTATTTTATTTAGAAACAGGGCCTCCCTGAGTTTCTTAGTGCCTCACTCTTGCTGAGGCTGGCTTTGAACTCACTATCCTCCTGTCTCAGCCTCCCAAGCCACTGGGATAACAAGCGTTTGTCACTGTGCCCAGCTTCTTACTAATTTTGAGTTAAAAGAATCACTACATTGATCACTACATTGTTAAACAATATTTTAAAAAATAGAGGTATGAGTTTATTAACATAATGCATTTGAAAAACAATTGAAAATCTTGCTTTTTAAAGATAATGATGATAAACTAAACAAGTAATATTAATGTGTTTTTTTTCATTATTGTCTGTCTCCTCTAGGGACAGAAACTTGGTGTAGATTGCTCACATCGGGGCATAATAGATGCTCAATAAGTCTTTGTACAGCGAATGCTTGTATGAATGAAGTTCATTTTTTTCAAAATAAAATTATTCAGTCCCTGCAGATGTCACAACCCACTTGAATCTGTCCTGTGATCATAAAGTCTTGCATTTTAATAACTCTTGAAAACAATAATGGTGTTTTCAATTGGTGATTATGACAAATCTATGAAATAGATTTGAACACTACTATTAACATATTTTGACTGCTGAAAAAATAAAGGATCAGAGAATGTCATAAAAATAACTATATGAATTCCCTTAAAATTATCATATCTAAATTTATCTATAGCCATAGTAAAATATTCAGAACATATTGTCATTTGAATAGCCAGTACTAATGAGTATATACTATAACCCCACTATAGTAGTCTGTTTTGTGTTGCTTTAACAAAATACCTGAGGCTGGGTAACTAATAGAATAAACTTTACCTGGCCCACAATTTTGGTGGCCAGAGGGTCCAACAGCATGGCACTGGCATCCTGATGATGATCCCTGGCTGCTTCGCAACATGACAGAGAAATAGAAAGAGAGCCTACTGCGTGCACAAAGGACCAAATGTGTGACCTCGCTTTATAACAACCCACTCTTATGAAAACTGACTCCATGAGTAAATCCCTTTCAAGGCAGTACACTCCTGGCCTAATCAGTTAAGGAACTTCTTAAAGATTCCTCTACCTCACACTGCCATACCGGAGACCTAGCTCCCAGGAAGCATATGAACTTTTGGAGGATATATTCAAACCACATCCAAACTTTAGCAAGCATTTTCATTAAAAATTTAAATATATATTGTATATTTATAAATAAAAATAGGTAACACATATAAAATATCTAAAAAATATTTTTAAATCAATCAATTAATCTATCTATACACCTGAGAGCTGGGAAGACTATATACCAAAATAATAACAATGCTGACTGTTGCTCAATGATAAAATTTCATTGCTATTATTCATTTTCATTGCTATTTCATTTAAATTTTTAATGTATCTATATTTCTATTTTTTCAAATGCACATATATTGTGTTATTTTATAATTATGAGACTTGTTTAAAAGATGAAGTTTTTTTTAATTAGTGAAGAACTATTTAAACATAGATTAAGATCCAAATTAGCTGTCACCAGGACACTGAAAAATGTATGGTATTAAACAAATGCCTATTCTTGGAGAAAAAAAATTTTGAAAGAAGAGACCTCATTTGAAAAGAAACTGATAAAGATAAAGGGTTATAAAGAGAAGGAGAATTAGGTATAATCTAGTAATATCACCAAGTGATGAAAATATTTGAACAGCATTTATGATAATAATTGCTACACTGTTTAAAAATTATTTACAGTTGTAAATATTTCTTCTTAAATTTTTACCACTGAAAAGGAAACAGTCACAGATGGTAAGTTAATAAATAAACACACTCAAATTTATAAGTTAAAAATAAAGTTTTTATGGATTTCAGATCCAAATATTTTATAAAGAAATTTATTCTCCTGATGTTCCCACATCATGTCTTCCAGTCATCCAAGTTCTGTTAAAGAGAGGAAAAGTGAATTATCCTCAGAGATGACTAATTTTTTCTAGGAAATCCCTCTAGAGAATGTTAAGAAGGAAATTGCTTAGCATCAGAATTTTAAGCTGCTAAAAGGTCACCATCTGGCCAGGTACTGTTTTATCTCTTTATGTGGTATACCAACATCCACAATATGAAAAATCTTAAAGCCCTTTATAATAAGCATCCACACAAAAAGGACAATGTGCAGCATTAATGAATACACGTTAGTAGAACAGAGATCATTTTATCTTTGAACTGTTTTGGATTGTCTGATGTACCCTGTCATCCCTGAGGATGCAAAGAAGCACAGTTGGGGTCCAAGAAAAGCTCTCAGACCCAGGGGGAGATCCCGCAGGCAGGTAAAAAGAGGGTCCTTGAGGTTTGTGGTTATCTTCTGAGTAACAAGTGAGCAGATGAGGCTCAGAGGGGAGAATCATCTGGAAACTGATTTTATAGGTGAGATGGTATTGGTTATGGCCACAAGGGAAGAGCTGTCGCAGTCACAGAATGATAGAAGCCATTGCCAGAGGGAGCAAAACTGGTTTTAAGCAGCAACTCCAAGAGTGAGGTATAATTGCAGCAACACTTCATAATAGCAAATCTAATCACACAAGTTAAGTAACTTTATGATCACAGTTACATTCACGTGAAAGTATGAGATGGCAATTCCAAAGGTTTTAGTCTTTCCTAGCCTGGATTTGGATAAGTTTCTTCTTCTTTTCTATATTTTCTAAAAGCTACAATATTATATATATATATATATATATATATATATATATATATATATATATATATATATATATATATACAATCAGTGTATACTCAATGTAAAAAAAAATCAAAATAAGTGAAAATAAAAAATGAAATCCATGAAAATTTCAACTCTGAAGCAACTATTAGCATTTTCGGAGATAATATTAAACAATGTTCTCATAGTAGATATTATTTGAATGTGAAAACAAATGGAATTAAACATTTTAAAGGGTTAAAAAAATGATTTGTTAATGTCATTTGGTCAATTCCAGATTAGATTTGATTAAAATCATGTTCTTCTGAATTACCATCTAGTATTAGTGTGCACATATTAGAGTAGTATAAGTGGGTGGAAGAGAAAATTTAGCTTTTGGTGATATATTCTTATTTCTTCTTAGACTCATGATTGGGAGAACTGTCCTTTATAAACAAATGGCTGATGGGTATGGATATGTTCATTAAGGATACCCATTCCCCAAATTTGACTTTAAAATTGTAATGGGAAAGGAAAGTAGAAGACAGAAAAATAATTTCACTGATTTAAGCATTTTTAAATCAGTGAAAGTGAAATGACTGAGGTGACTTAATGCATCAACCTTGTAGCCTCTGAAGATGCTTGTGAAGCTGGTGCTTCCTGGAACTTCAAAAGAAAATAAAACTGAAGGTGCATGGGAAGATTTGGGGATGAGAGGGAAGAAAAGGCTGTTTATGAAACCAGAGTCACATATTGATGGGTTAGGTTTTGGGTTTTTTTTTTTTTCTGTTTGTTTGTTTGGTGGAGTGTGTTGGATATTTATTTATTTATTTATTTTTGTTGAGGGCCCGGGAGAACTAAAAAAAGAGGTAGCATAACCTCTGTCCTCAGCTGGGTTTGAGCCCTTGAGATGAAAACAGATAAAAACAAACAAACAAAAAACCAGAAAGCCCAAAACTGATGGAAAGTGATTTCATGCTGTTGGTGAGGTTCTGGGCAAAATCTAAGGGTTTAGAAATTATTAAACCAATCCTTCTTGAGCCTTGGGATTCTGGCTTACATAGAATGCAGAATGCTTCCTTTCCAAGTGGCAGAGTGTAGCCTGGAGCTAGAGAGGAGGCCACTTGCAGCAGCTTCCAGATAGAAAGTGCCACTCCTCAGATGCTCCCATGACCCGGGAGACCATGCCAGACACTGAGCTTGGCTTTCTCACTACAAGCACTGTCAAGACTGCCAGGGTGAGGCTTCTGCTTCTGCTTCTGCAACAGGTGGGAGACGAAAGAGGAAAGCAAGAAAAGGTAGGTGCTTGACAGTGATCACAACACCCATCCACACTGAGGA